GAGAAGGGATTCTGGTATGGCCATCCTTCATCCTTCTGGAGGGTAATTTCTCACTTTCTCTCTCTTTCTCTCTCTTTCCAGTGAGTGCACATGCTCTGTAGCAAACTTAAAAACAAAACAAAAACCCATTTATCGGTACCCTACAAAATTATCCTTCAAAGAAAAAAAAGAAATAAAGACTTCTTCAGACAAATAAAAAATAAATAAATAAAAAGGAAAGAAGGAACTGTGGCATGGCAGTTAAGGTGCTGGACTCCCACATGGACTACCACAGTTCAAGTCCTAGATCTGGCAGCTTGAAAATCATTCCAGGCATGTGTGCGTGCATGCCCAAAATCCCAAGAGGAAAATGGAAGAAAAGGGAATGGAGTGGCCATTTCCTCTCAGGTGTGATTTCTCATTTTCCATCTCTCTGGTGAGTGAGGGCCAGCAGGTAGAGTGGTAGTTAGGGTGCTAGAATCCATCTTGCTATATGGCTAGGTGAGTCCAAGGACACTAAGAATGACTTAATGTCTACAGCTCCTCCTTTTGTTAAATAGGGGAGGCAGGGCCTGGCTCCTCCCTTTCCATCTCATCTACCAGAAGATGTAGGCTGCCGGCCCAATCCTTTGTTCCATGTTCTGCCTTGGCTCTTTCCACTTAGAACCTTGAAGTCCTTTTCTGGCAATTTCCATGTGTTTTTAAGGCTTTGTCCAAATCATATAGGCCCACATGTGACTTAGCCCTTTTTGATTTTTTAAAAAAGAAAGTGTTTTTTTTTTTAACTTTATTTGTTTACTTACTTACTTTAATTTGACCAGAGAGGGACAGAGCGAGAGTAAGAGAAAAAAGAGAGAGAAAGTGAGAAAACAAGGCTGCCAGTTCTGGGACTCAAACTACGGTCATGTGGGATCCAAGTACCCTTAACCACCTTGCCACCTACCGGCCCCAGCCCTTTTTGATTTTTATTTGATTTGCATTATTGGACTCCTTTTTTTGTCAAACTCTTTGTGTTGTTTCTGTGCTTTCTCCACTGTACTTAAGATTTTTGTGAGCAGCTAGTCACGGCTGTTTTTGTTGACTTTTCAGTGTCTAGTATACAGGTCTTACACTATAAGCATTCAAACTCATATTTGTTGAAGGAGGCATTCAGAGGATTTGACTCAAAAGTGGCTTAAAGTTAAAGCTAAGTATCTGATAAATTTGAAAGACAGTCTTTGAGATGTAGTACACAATTTGTAACAATACTGGGGAGGAAGCATCTGGAAGCTTTGCATTGTTCAGGTGTGCACAGACTGACTTGTCCACAGAAGACAGAAGGGGAGAACAGGGCCCAGACTTACATAGGCCACTTCATGGCCATAGAGAAATTGTCTGTTTTGGTGGGTGGATGGGTTGTTTGCTTGAAACATTTAAAAGTTTTGTACAGGGGACCAGCATATGGTGTAAGGGTTATGTCTCTGGACTCTTACTTAGTCTACTGTGGTTAAGGTACCAACCCTGCAGCTTAAAACTCACGCGGGCTGCATGTGCGTGCATGCCCAAAATCCCAAGAAGAGAATGGAGGAGACGGGATTCTAGAATGGCCATCCCTCCTGAGGGGTGATTTCTCGCTTTTTGTCTCTCCATTTCTCCCTGTCTCTCCAGCAAGCGTACGCACCTTATAGCAAGACTATTTCTTTAAAAAAAAAAAAAAAAAAAAGAAGGCAAAGTTTCGTGTATAACTTGGTATGCTCATAAAATGGATGATAAAGTTGTATTTAGTAATTATAAATTTTCATTGTAAACTTTGACTAAAAATGGATTTATACATTCTTTAACCTTTTTTTAAAAATTTACATCTGGGTGCTGGCAAGTGGTGTAGTGGATAAGGTGCTGGACTCCCCCATGGCTGACCACGGTTTGAGTCCTGGACCTGGAGGCTTGCTTTTTCTCTCTTTCTGTCTCTCTCAAATTGAACAATAATATTAATTTAAAAATTAAATATTTCTTTAAAAAATTTTATGTCTGTATCTTCCTTTTACTTCTTCCAACTCCCTGCGGGGTTAGTTGCTTTCTATTATAAAAAGATTAAATAGAGAAAGATGCAATAAGTACCCACACACCCCATATTTTCACCTCTGTACCAGCGCTTGTTGAGGCTGAGGCTCAGAATGACTGTGGTGCAGGAGCTCTTTTCTGTCTGGACACAGCCTGGCGTAGCCCTCACTGTCCCAGTCAAGTATTGTCAGCCCCTGGGAGTCGAAGATACACCTCACCTTCCCACTATACTGTTTCCCTGTAGTAGGTGAAATACTATGGTAAAATGTGGACTTTAGGCTGTGGTTTGATTAAATCCCATTTCCCAATTTTCTTTAAGGGTGGTAGTTACTGGTTTAGGGTGACATTTTCATGGGACCAGGAGTTGTGTCCTTAATGCTGGGTAATCAGAAAAAGCCTGCATCTGGGTCTTTTTTTTAGTCAGAAGTGAATCCAGATAACTCTAAATGTGAATTCAGGTTGAGATAGCTTACTGTAGAGTTGTCAGTATCCTTATTCTGACTATTGCCATAGTCATATGAGCTGGAGAATGGGCCTACAAATTTTCTTATTCTGAAAGACTAGGGAACTGTGACTTTGTTTCATGACTTGAGCCACAGGACAATGTAGGCATTTGAAGTGGAACAGATTATTCTCTATTCTGACTTTTTTTTTTTTCTTACTATCTCTTGATATGGAGAATACCTGGAAGGATTTCTACCCAGAGATTAAGATAATTGTGACCATTACTTTAAATGAGTAGCTCTCAACTGGGACTGATATTGCCCCTCCCCCCACTCTGCCACACACTGGGACTTCTGGTGGTTGTTACAGCTGAGGAAGAGGGTGCTACTGGTAGGTAGAAGGCAGGGGTGGAGACTAGGGATGTTGCCAAATATCCTGCAGTGGACAGACAGCCCTTTCCGTGCCAAAAATGTCAATTGTACCAAATCTGAGACTCCTGCTTTGAAACTTGATGCTTTGAGGACTCCTGGGTTTACATTCCATAATACCTTCCCTTAGGGCCTAGACTTTCCCTTGGAGTGACAGTTTATGAAGGTGGTAGGTTGCATTCACTGATGAGCTTCAGTTTGCACCCACATAACATTTGTTTTAGTGAAATTCATGTAACACGGACTTAACCATTTTAAAGAAAACAGGTGTGGTATTTAGTACAGCCATCACCTCTACCTGATTCTACATATTCATCACCCCAAGAGAAACCGTATACCCATTAAACAGTTGCTCATTACCCACACATACACACAGCCCCTGGCAACCCTTGCATTCTGTCTCTACATATTTGCCAGTTCTGGGTATTTCATATAAATGGGATCAAACAATATGTATGTGATCTTTTGTCCTCTGCCTTCCTTCACTTGGCCTAATTCTCAAGATTCCTGCATGCTATAGTATATAATACTTCCCTTCTCTTAATAGCTGATTAATACACCATTATATGGATATGCCATCAGTGAACATTTGGGCTTTTTTCCACTTTTGGGCTGTTGACTACTACTGCCATGAACATAAATGTGTACAAGTATTAAGTCCCTGTTGTCCGTTCTTTAGGGTCTTTATCCAGGGGTAGAATTGCTAGGCCCTGTGGTAGTTCTGTTTTTAATTTTTTGAGGAACTATCAACTCTTCCATCCACAACCACTTTTATTGTCAAAAAAGTAATATTTGATTTTGCATACACAGCACAATTCCATAATTAAACTACTTAGAATTCAGTTCATCTTGTCTCTCCTGACCCTAGACTCTGTGTGTACACGTGAATCTCTAGCTTCATAAGATAGTGAATTGACGGATAGGCCAGTGGTAACTTGTGAATCATCCAAAAATGATCTTTTTACACAGAGAATTTCATTTGGGGAATATTCTTTTCATTTAATTTAAGTCATTTTTTAAGATTTGTGGGGGGGAGGGAGAGATTTTTGCTATAGGGCGCGTGCACTCGTCAGAAAGACACAGAGAGACAGAGAGACAGAAAGCGAGAAATCACCCTCCAGGGAGGATGGCCACGCCGCAATCCTTTCTCCTCCATTCTCTTCTCAGGATCTTGGGCTTGCACGCACACACACCTGATGTGAGTTTAAGCTACCAGGTCTGGGACTTGAACCGCAGTTGGCTACATGGGAGTTCAGTGACATAGCCATTACGCTAACTACTGGTCCCATTGAGAGAGATTTTTGCTATAGGGTGCATGCACTTGCTAGAGAGACAGAAAGCGAGAAATCACCCTGGGGGGATGGCCATACTGCAATCCCTTCTCCTCAGGATTTTGGGCACTCAGTGCACATGCGCCTTGTGTGAGTTTTAAGCTGTCAGATCCAGGACTAGAACTGTGGCCGACTATGTAGGAGTCCATCAGTGTAGCCATTACTTCATCTGCTGGCTCCTGGGAGCATGTTTAAAAAATTTGAACCTTAATTTCTGGGAAAGTACAAGCACATGTTTCAGAAGAAATCTAGAAGTGTGTTGACAGGAGTCAGAACATTGCTTGTGATCTCATTTGCCATTTCAAGCTACTTTCTGGACACTGGGCCAAGGGAATTGGGTGGCATAGGGGTTGGATTGTAAATGTTTTTGATGAAGACTTGTCAAGACTTAGGAAATAGTTAACCAGTGGCTTCTACACTGATATGCCATATGGGGAAAATCTGGATTAGAGTAATTTTAGAAACGTACTGAATTGCAGTTTTTTTTTCTTCCCCTTTCATTGTTACTGTAATTTTTCTAGTAAGAAGATTCCAACCCCTACTTCCTATGTTTTTCAGTTTCATTCAAGGTATTTTCCCTGGGCCATTTCTAAGGATTAAAAAAAAAATCAGATTTCTTTGTTTGTCTTTGTAAAAATGCATCATGACTTCCTAGATATCCCAATAGTACTGAGAAACCATAAGGAAGGGATAAATTTGTGTGCTTTTACTAAAAAGGTAATGATAAAATGGAATATTTTCTGAATGCAGTGCAAACATAGCCTTTTCTTTTTGTTACAGACAAGTTTACATGTGCTGGAGACTAGACTAGAAGCACTTCTGAACTAAGGTAATTTTAATATAACTGATTCTTACCAGTTTTTAAAAATATATTTAAATTTTTTCAGGATTCCTTTCCTTTTTTAAAAATGATTTATTTTATTTATTTATTCATTTATTTTAATCTGATCAGGAAGAGAGAGAGAGAGAGAAAGCAAACTGTCAGGTCCGGGCATCAAACCATGGTTGGCCATGTGGAAGTGTCCAGCGCCTTAACCACCACAGTACCTGCTGGTCTCCTCTTTCTTTTTTTTAAATTACCTGGTTATGTATGTTTTGCTTCTCTCTCTCTTCTTTTTTTTTTTTTTAAGAATTATTTATTTATTTTATTTTAAAATTTGACTAGAGAGAGAGAGAGAGAGAGAAAGAGAGAGAGAAAGAGAATGAAATCAAGCCACCAGTTCTGGGACTTGAGCCGCACCTGGCCATATGGGAGTACAACACCTCAACCACCTCCTCCACTCTGCACTTTCTATCTCTTTCTTTCTCTCCTTTTTTCTTTTTTAAGAGAGATTTCTGTTATAGGGCATGTGCGCTTGCCAGACAGAAAGCAAGAAATCACCCCCTCAGGGTGATTTCTCCTCCCAGGATCTTGGGCATGCATGCACATGGGCATGATGTGATTTTAAAGCTACTGGATCTGGGACTTGAACTGCATCCGACCATGTGGAATTCCAGTGACATAACTGCTATGCCATATGCTGGTCCTGCTCTCTCTCTTTTTTCAAAGCCCAAAGTTGGTTTGATGCTCAGAGGATTTCTTTTTTTGTTTGTTTTTTAGGCTTTTGTGTTTGTTTTTAGATTTTTACCATAGGGAATGTGCACTCGCAAAAGAGAGAGAGAATGAGAAATCACCCGTGGGTGGGGTGTTCACACTGTAATCCCTTCTCCATTCTCCTCTTAGGATGTTGGGCACATATGTGTAGGCACATGCATCCAGCATGATTTTCAAGCTGCCAGGAACAGGACTTGAATCCATATGGGAATCCTTAACCACCACATTCTATGCTGGCCCCCTTCCGAAGGATTTTTTTGGCAGAGGGTTTGCCATAGAGCGTGTGTGCTTACCAGAGAGACAGAGATAGACTTTGAGAGAGCAAGTGAGAAATCATCCTTTGAGGGCGGTGGCCACACCACAATCCCTTCTCCTGGGATTTTGGACATGCAGGCATTCGTGCCTGGTGTGAGTTTCAAGCCACCAGGTATGGGACTTAAATTGAGGTGAGCCGCCATGTAGGAATCTAGCACCTTAACCACCATACCACTTGCTGGCCTCCAGAAGGATGTTTCTATCTATTTATTTAAGAACTGTTATATTTAATTTTATTTGTTGTTAGTATTTTTTACATTTGACCAGAGAAAGAAAAAGGGAAAGTGAGAAAACAAGTCTCCAGGTCTGATATTCAATGGTGGTCGGCCCTGTGGGAGTCCAGCACCTCAAACACCATCCATCTGTGGCCTCAGAAGGATTTTTTTTTTTAATTTAACTTTATTTATTTAAATTTGACCAGAGAAAGACAAAACGAGAGAATGAGAGCAAGAGTATATTGTTTCTCAGAACAGACCTCTTCAACTTTTACAATTACTCTTCTACTTTTACAATGATAAGAAAAAGGTATCTAATCCAAACAAGCTCTATAAGTACAAAACAAAAACAGAACACTTGAACATACTTCAGATTAATTTCCAATTTAATGGACCTGTGCAGATGTGTACATGAATAGCCTGGTGTGTCAGTTTATTTTAAAAAATAAAAAAATCTGCACCCTTACATTTTGTGTTGCTTTTCAGCTATTCCTGTACTTAACATGCCATGTTTCAGTCAAAATTCTTCTGAAAGCCCATTTTCCTCAATAATACAGTCAAAAGGAGTATAAAAGGTTCTTTTGGGTCTTTCAGCTAAAAATAATTTTAAGAAAAGAAATACTGTCTCTTAGAATCATCTGCTACCTCTAGCTTGATTCATAAGACTCTGTACTTTTTTTTTTAAGTGATTTTTTTTTTTTTTTTTGCCATAGGGTGTGTGCACTTGCCAGCAAGCAAGTCACTAGGTCCAGGACTCGCACTATGGTTGGCTGTGTGGGAGTCCAGCACCCTTAGTCACCATGTCACATGCCGGCCCTAAATTTTTTTTCCTAAAGAATTATTTTATTGGGACTAGCATGTGGCGTGATGGTTAAGGCACTGTGCCATCCACAGTTCGAGTCCCAGACCTGGTGGTGGCTTGCTTTCTCACTTTCCTCTCTCTCTCTCTTCAAATTTAAATAAATAAAATGTATAATTCTTTTTATAAAAGAATTATGTTATTGAACTTTCTTTTATTTTATTTATTTGTTTATTTAATTTGACCAAAGAGGGACAGAGTGAAAGAGAGAGGGAAAGTGAGAAAGCAAGCTGCCAGGTCTGGGACTTGAACTGCGGTCGGCCACATGGGAGTCCAGCCCCCTTAACCACCACACCACTTGCCAGTTCCCTTCAGAAGGACATTTTTTTTTAAAAAACTTCCATTTAGTCTTGCTCAGCAACATGGCTTATGACCCCAAGCATTATTATTTACATTCTGGAGAAAAGCACATTTTTTCCAGTTTTCCATTAGAATGTAGGAGATTTCTTTTTTCAGATAACATCTTAGTTGGGGACCAGCAGTTAGTGTAATGTCTTTGTCACTGGACTCCCATGTAGTTGACTGCGGTTCGAGTCCTGGACTCGGTGGCTTAAACTCACGTCAGGCGCGTGTGCGTGTGTGTGTGCCTAAGATTCTGAGAGGATAGTGGAGGAGAAGGGATTGCAGCGTGGCCATCCCCCCTGGGGAGGTGATTTCTTGCTTTCTGTCTCTCTGTCTCTCTCTGTCTTTCTGGCGAGCGCACACACCCTATAGCAAAAACCTCTCTTTAAAAAAAAAAAATCACACCAACATATCATACAGACGAAAGTAGGAGATCAGGGGGAAAAAAAAAACAAAACCTCTTTTGTGTTTGTATAAAGTGGGAGTGATGAAGCACATTGGTGAGTATGAGTCATGTCTTTAGCTCCTCTGCCTTCTCTGAGAGGTGCTATCTGGATTTACAATCAATTTTGAGAGGAACAAACCTTGGACAAAGACTGCTGACCGAGAATAAAACATTGGTGGCACCATGGTTAAGGCAGTTGGATTTCCACGTGGTCAACCATGGTTTGAATACTGGACCTGGTGGCTTGAAGATCATGCCAGGCATGTGTGCATATGTGCCCAAAATCTCAAGAGGAGAATGGAGAAGAGATTGCAGCATAGCCATCCCTTCTAGGGGGTGATTTCTCACTTTCCCTCTTTCTGTCCTTTCTCCAGCGAATGTACATATCCTATGGAAAAAATTTTTGAAAAAGAATTAAGGCATTGGTAACCTCATTAGAAGGTCTTTCACCATTGTCAACTCAAACATACTCATATGTCCTGTACATGTGGATCTCTGGTGTCATGGTTCACTTTTTTAATCATAGACAGGCTTTGACCATGACCTTCATCTGGGAAGGTAGAATCAAACAAGTGTTAATCGGGCAGAAGGGGGCCCAAGCTGCAGGTACAGGGGTAGAAATTGGATCTCTGCAGACAGAGCTAAGAAGTACTTTAAGGTGAGCTGCATACTGGGGAGGAACAGCTGGTAGAAGATGTAGAATATTTGACAAAGGAGAAGATAATTAGAAGAACAGACCTAGGGGCCACCAGGTGGTGTCATGGTTAAGGTACTGGACTCCCTCATGCTGACTGTAGTTTGAGTCTTGGCCCTGGCAGCTTGAAACTCAGTGCCTGGCATAGATGTGTGCATGCCCAAAATCCCAGGGGGAGAGTGGAGGAGAAGGGATTGCGGTGTGGTAGCTATCCCCGAACACACCTGGGGATGATTTCTCACTGTCTCTTTGTCTCTCTTCAGCAAGTGAATGCACCCTTATGGCCAAAACTTTAAAAAATTTTTTTAAAAAAAGAACCTATCCGGGGGACCAACAGATGGTGTAATGGCTACGTTGCTGGACTCCCACGTAGTTGACTGCTGTTCAAATCCTGGACCCGGTGGCTTAAACTCATGCCAGGCGCGTGTGTGTGCGTGCCCAAGATCCTAAGAGGAGAATGGAGGAGAAGGAATTGCAGCTTGGCCAACCCCCCTGAAGGGTGATTTCTCACTTTCTGTCTCTCTGTATTTCTCTGTCTTTCTGGTGAACGCACCTGCCCTATAGCAAAAACTTCTACCAAAAAAAAAAAAAAAGAAAAGAAAAGAAAGAACCTACCTGAATGTTAATTTCTAGCGTTTTTGCATACATGGATATATAAGCCTCCAAGGTTGTCCATGTAAGTATTAAAATAGATTTGGGAAGTGTTAAGATTAAATCCTTCTCGAAAACAACCAGTAAGGTGGAACCAGCAGTTAGTGTAATGGCTATGTCACTGGACTCCCATGTAGTCGACCGCGGGTGGTTCAAGTCCCAGACCTGGTGGCTTAAACTCACACTGGGTGTGGGTGTGTGTGTGTGCCCGAGATTCTGAGAGGAAAATGGAGGAGAAGGGATTGTGGCGTGGCCATCCCTCCTGGGGGGTGATTTCTCGCTTTCTATCTCTCTGTCTCTCTCTGTCTGGCGAGCACACACACCCTATAGTAAAAACGTCTCAAAAAAAACCAAAACAGTAAGGTGACAATGTCATTGCAGAAAACAAATACCAAATGTGACAAGATCTGTTTAAGAAATATTTGTGGTATCATATCTTTTAAAATCAAAAGATTTATATTGAAACTTCAGGGTTTTGTTTTTTTTTTTAAGATATATTGGCTCATTCATCATAGAGATATAATAGAAGTCTGTAATCTGTAATGCAGTCTTTTATACCAAAAAAACATTGACTTTTTGAAAAACATAGTAAGGGAAAAGAAAACATAGTAAGGAAATGTTTAAGTATATTAAAAACAGAATATTGTGTAATTGTCCAGTTTCAGTGTTTACAGAATTTTGTCAGTTTTGTTTGTTCTTCCTCTTTCCTTTCTTCCCTCTTTTCCTTCTCTTGTTCTCTCTCTCCCTTCCTTCCTTCTTTGTGTTTTAAAGCAAATCCTCAAATCATATGTAGCATTTCTTTCCCTTTTTTTCATTTTTTGCCATAGGGTGTGTGTGCTCATGAATGAGAGAAACAGACAATAGGAGGGAAGGTGAGAAATCAGTCCCCAGGGGATGGCCACACTATAATCCCTTTTCCTCCACCGTCCTCCTGGGATTTTGGGCATGTACAACCATATGTTTGGCACAATTTTCAAGCCACCAGGTCCGGAACTTGAGCCACATTTGGCCGTGCAGGAATCCAATTCATTAACCACCATGCCACCTGCTGTCCCCAATAAGTAGCTTTTCTTTTCTTTTTTTTTTTTTTTAATGATTATTTTTCTTTCTTTTTTAATAATTATTTTATTTTTCTTCTCTTTTTTCTCTTCTCTCTCTCTTTTTTTTTTTTTGGAGAGATTTTCACTGTAGGGCGCGTGCGCTCGCCAGACAGACAGAGAGAGACATAGAGACAGAAAGCGAGAAATCACCCCCCAGGGGGGATGGTCATGCCGCAATCCCTTCTCCTCCATTCTCCTCTCGGGATCTTGGGCACGCACGCACACGCGCCCGGCGTGAGTTTTAAGCCACCGGGTCCGGGACGTGAGCCGCGGTCGACTACGTGGGAGTCCAGCGACATAGCCATTACGCTAACTGCTGGTTCCTTTTTTTTTTTTTTTTTTTAACTTCTTTTCAATTTGACCAGAGGCACACAGTAAGAGAGAGAGGAAAAGAGAGAAACTGAGAAAGGAAGTCACCAGATCAGGTCACTGCATCAGGGATGCGATCCACAGCCGGCCATGTGGGAGTCCAGCTCCCTTAACCACTACGCCCCCTGCCAACCCCCCATAAGTAGTATTTCTAACAACGAAAGACTTTAATTTTATTATGATGTCTCTCCCCCACTCTGGTGAGCACACAAGCCCTATAGCAAAATTTAAAAAAAAGAAAATGTATGTAAGTTCGTTTCTTCCACAAGCATCTGTACAAAGGCAGGAAGAGAAAAAGAGACAGCACCCCCAACAGGGTCTTTGCTGCTGTGATTCATCCCAGCCATCAGCTAGCTTCTGATCTTGGGCACAGGTGTGCCTGGTGTACTCAAAGGAGGTCTCTGAACTTGAACCAAAAACCTTCTCATGTGGGATTACCTCAGAGTGTGTGAAGTTTTTTGTTTGTTTGTTTGGTTTTGTTTGGTTTTGTTTAAGGATTATTTTATTTAACTTTAGTTTGACCAGAGAGAGACAGAGCGAGGAGGGAGGACTAGCCACCAGGTCTGAGACTCAAGCCATAATTGGCTGTGTGGGAGTACGTTGCCCTTAACCACCACTCCACCTGCTAGCCCCCAGAGTGTCAAGTTACTGCTGTGCCATCTGTTTTTCCCCTTCCTCCTGCATTTTTTAAAAAACAAATTTCAGAGGCTGGCAGGTGGCATGGTGATTGAGGCATTGGATTTCCCCATAGCCAACGATGGTTCAAGTCCCAGACCTCCTGGCTTGTTTTCCTCACTTTTCCTCTCTCTCTTTCTGTCTTTTTCTAGCCAAATTAAAAAAAAAAAAAAAGATAGTAATTATAAAATAAAATAATTCTTTAAAAAAATGAAATGAATTCTAATGAAAAATTGACGCAGGCAATAAATGTTCGTGAATAGTAATCATCAAACTAAAGCAGTCAGCAGCTTACAGCCTATCTTGTTTTATATATGGCCTCAGCCTGAGTTTCCCTCTTTTGGTTGTTTTCAAACAAAAATTTTAACATATTTTGTTCTTAAATATTTTAGTGTGTACCTTTAAGTGATAAAGGTACAAAAATGGTATTATTTTTGTCAAAGTGTTTTTACCAAAATAGTACTATTATCACACCTAAATAATTGATCAATTCTTTCATATTTCCAGATACCCAGTCTGTGTTGAGATTCTGGCATATCTTGGATATCATTTGTTTGGGTTTAGTTTTACAGTTACTTTGTGTTTCAGGTAAGGTCTGCATTCCTGTTTGTGGGCATGTTTCTTAACTATCTTAACCCTTGAATACCACCTTCATCTCTTTCCTTTCCTTTTTTTCCTTTCCTCTTGAAGTTTGTTTGTTAAAGATCAACAACCCACCAACCACCCACATCCTTTGTCCTGGAGTGTTTCCCAAGGTCTTTATGTTGCCATTGCCTTTCTGTGGTGTCATTGAAAATGCTACTCAGTTTTCTGTAGCTATAAGGGTTTGATCAGGTTCACTTTTTTTGTAGTACACTTCGTAGACATTGTCAATATCCTAAAAGTATGATTTTATGATTTTGAAAACCGTTAGCATTACAAAAAATAACATCTCAAACAAGGACAGCAGTGTTCTTTTTACTCATTTGTCTTCTGCTCAAATGTTAGCTCCTTAGGTTGTGTCTAACAATCATGCTAAGTAGCACCTCTCTCGTAATCTGGCAGACTTCACCACGCTAGTACCTATATAATTTCTCACCCTCTGAAACTGCCCACTAGTTTTACTTGTTTGCCATCTATATTCCTGGAACCAGAATTTCTCCTGTGCTTTCTTGCTCACCTCCGTCCTGACACCCCAAAGTGCCCAACACAGAGCAGGCTTCAAATGAGCCATGTTACAGTGCCTATCATTTTGCTCCTCTTCAATAGTTTAGCAATAATATCCTTTATTAATTGTGGTATTTTTATCCTGCTTCCTTTTATTGCTCATTGAGTTGTTGGGAACAGTATGTATAGGAAAGAGGGGCTGAGTACTTTCTATTGTTGTTTAGATTTGTACTGTCTTAATTTTGAAGATTGACCTGGATTTGGGAGTGATAGAAAAACTGATGAAATAGGGGTAAATTCCCTATGCATATTCCCCTTTCTCTCAAAATGCTGTTTAATCTTGGATGTGAGCCTTGGTACTTGCATGGTCAATCCCTGCTCCTGCATTATGCACTGGGAGCTGGCAGGGGAGGGACTGGGGAGGCTAGGACAGTTCAGAAGTAACTACCTCTGTTCATACAGTTCATGAGACTCATTCATATGAGTCTCATGGGTATGCCAGCTGGCTGGTGAGCAGGTAGCCCAGAACTGCCCAGCTACTTAGCTGTGAGACCACATGTGACAAGGTCCACACAGCTAAATGAATGCATGCCTAAATAAGGGGTCTGTGGATTAGAAATAAAAATAAACACACAAAGACATGTAAGTATAGAAAAGCAGGGATCAGTGGTCCAGACTTCTCTGATGGAGATAGCCGTGACTCTGAAGACCACACCAGTCCCAGGTTTATTCTTTTAAAGGGCAGAAAATGTGTGTGTGTGGGGGGGGGGAGGGGTAATGGAATGCAAAGCCAGTTGTTTTCAGATGTAAATCTGCTGAAGATTCAAAGATAGCTAGTACCATAAAGTTCTCTGATCTTTTGGCACCAATTCTGATAAACACATGTGGATTTCTTTAAATTGATACTGCTCTGCAGTTTTAGGCAGCTAGTGTATTCACATATAAATTGCTTTCACGGGGTGGAGGGACACCAGCAGTTAGCGTAATAGCTATGTCGCTGGACTCCCATGTAGTCGACCGTGGTTCGTGTCTCAGACCCAGTAGCTTAAACTCACGCCGGGCGCGTGTGCATGCGTGCCCAAGATCCTGAGAGGAGAATGGAGAAGGGATTGCGGTGTGGCCATCCCCCCTGGGGGGGTGATTTCTCACTTTCTATCTCTCTGTCTCTCTCTCTCTGTCTAGTGAGCACACATGCCCTATAGCAAAAATCTCTAAAAAAAAATTGCTTTCACGGCTGTGCAAATAACAGCTCACGGAACTGCCTTTCTCCATGTGTTTAAAGGTTACCATGTTTGCTCAAATTGGCCGCTCTCCACACACATTTGCATTCTGCCCATCGTCCTTCAGTTGCTCTGTTCAAAGTTATACTTCATAGTTTAATAACTGAAAGGCCTATGGTACATTGTCAGAATGATTGTCTCATTTAATTTTCATTTTTAGCACTGTGATATAGGGAGCACCGATTAAACGTGATTTGGCGAAAGTCATTTTCCTGGAATATTACTGCAGAACCAATATTTTTCAATACATGTGCTTATTTTATCATTAGCAAACTTACAACTTGAGTGTTATTGTTGATGACTATATAGTAACTGGGGTTTTGGAGCACCATTGAAGGGCCCTTCTTAGACCCTGTAGGTGTCTTGGTTAGAGGGATATGGTGCTTCTGTGTGTGTCATGAAGTGGTGCAGGCACCACACGGTGCATTGAACTAGAAGTGTGAAATACTCTTGCATAACATTATGTTAGCATTTGACTTACAGAAATGTTGACTGTAATCTAAAGTAGGGACAGATCACTTCACATACTTGAATTATTTAAATTTCCATGAAAAAAAAAAAGACCTTTTAAAATGGAAGTTCTAGAAAAAAGCTAATGGCAAATATGGGTCATAAAGAACAGACCTGAGACCTCAGCAGGTCCTGTCTTAGTGGATTAGATAGTAAGTGTGGAATCAGCACAGCCAGAGCTTAGCAGACATCAGCCTGGGGGAAAGGAGGGGCTCAGGCCAGGTGAGCCCTTTGGTGGGGTTTTCCTCAAGGTTGGGGAACGAAGGGCAGTGAGGAAGAAAGTAAAAGCAATCAATGTAAGTAAGACTTTTCAAGCATACAGTCACTTCCTATTTTCAAAGTAAGCTGCATTTAGAAATTAAATATAAAAATATGATTCTGATAATGCTATATTAGTCTTTTGAAATGTCTTTATACATTGTTCTAAATAGCTAAAATAATTATATGCAAATTTATACATTGTTTTTTATTTAATATAATAGCATTTTTCCAAACAGTTATGTTGTCTTCATTATTGTTTTTAGTGATGTATTACATAGTTCATCCAGTAACTTTATTAAATTGTCTTTTAAATTTTTAACTTTATTTTAATAAGAGACAAGGTCTTGCTGTGTTCCCCAGGCTGTCCTCAAACTCACAATTCTCCTACCTCAGCCTCCCAAGTACCTGGGATGACAGGCACATGCCACCACATCCAGCTAATTAGATTTTATTTTATTTACTTTTTTGGGGGAGAGGTTTTTGCTATAGGGCGCATTTGCTTGCCAGAGAGACAGAGACAGAAAGCGAGAAATCACACCCCAGGGGGATGGCCACGCCACAGTCCCTTCTCCTCCATTCTCTTCTCGGGATCTTGGGCACGCACGCACACGCGCCCAGCGTGCGTTTGAGCCACTGGGTCTGGACTTGAACCATGGTCAACTACATGGGAGCCCAGCGACATAGCCATTACGCCAGTTGCTGGTCCCCCTACTAAGTAGATTTTTTTAAACCATGGAGGAAGAAAAATCAGTGCTCCTTGGTTATAGGAAGCAGCTATCCTGTTACCTTTTTGCTGGGGCTTGGACGGGTGCTGGTAAGCAAACTGTATGTCAAGGATAATGAGAAGAATAAATACTGCCACACCATTCATGTATTTTTCTCCAAAAACAACTACTGTTAACATTTTCTCAAGTGTTTAGCAAAAAGATTACTTACGCTACATCAATGTCCTTTTTATGTGCATGAAAAAGCATCATACTTTGTATACTATTCTGTGCTTTGTTTCATTTACTGTATTGAAAGAGCAATTGGGGAAAACTTTCAGTTTATGAGAATGAGAAAATTATTTGATTCCTTGAAGTTCAGCTCTGTATTTAAGTCTGTATGCCCTTGCTGTCCATAGGTGTGAGATGGTGATGTGGTCTAGTGTATCCTCCCTTGTCCTATCAGGCCAGTTCAGTATTCCTTTGCATAGGGTGACTTGAGGCTTTGTTTCTATGGTTATTGTATACACATTACATAAAGATGGCCCTGGTCAGTAAAAGTTCATCTACAGAAACCCTTTTTTAAAAATTCGATTTAGAAAATATATTTTTAACATGGAGACTAGAGGATATAGTGTTTTTTAAAATTATTTATTTTATTTATTTATTCATTTTAATTTGACCAGGGAGAGGAGAGAGAAAGTGGGAAAACAAGCCACTAGGTCTGGGACTCGAACCGTAGTCAGCCATGTGGGAGTGTTCAGTGCCTTAACCACCGCGCCACCTGCTGGTCCCTGAGAATGTAGTTTTAAATATATATGTATATGTGCCTGAGAAATTTTTCTTTCTCACTTGTCTGTATTTGGATTTAAGAGGGGGTCTCAGGACCAGCAGTTGACATAATGGCTATGTTGTTGGACTCCCATGTAGTCGCCCATGGTTCGAGTCCCGGACCCAGTGGCTTAAACTCGCACTGGGTCGTGTGCATGCATGCCCAGGATCCTGAGAGTAGAATGGAGGAGAAAGGATTGTGGTGTTGCCCATCCCCCTGGGGGGTGATTTCTCACTTTCTGTATCTCTCTGTCTTTCTGGCGAGTGCACGTTCCCTATAGCAAAAACCTCTCAAAAAAAAGAGGTGTTCTCACAGGAAATTTAATTTTATTGCTAATTGACATAAGAGTGCCCTTTTTCTTAAAAAGTAACAAAAATAGGGGCCAGCAAGTGGTATGGTAGTTAAAGGCACTGGACTCCCACATGACCAACCATGGTTCAAGTCCTGGACCTGGTTTATTGCTTTCTCTCTTTCTCTCTCTGGTCAAATTAAAATAAATAAAGTTAAATAAAAATAATTCTTTAAAAAAAGAATGAACAAAAATAGATTTTGAATCTCTTCATTGTGATTCAGATGTGGGTACTCATTATGGAAGGAGCTGTAATCAGAAAGCAATTAACAATTAACTGCTTTTTACTAATGAAACAGTAGATCTGGTTTTGTTCTTTTTCTTGTGACTAAAGATTAAAGTCAGCTATATTAGTGTTATTCTGAAATTTAATGAGGTCACTAGGTTAAGTGGATCTTTTCGTTTTAAAGAAACAGATTTTTAGTAAATTCATTTCTATATAGTCTTAAGCAGTAGAACTGGGTGATTGTCATATACATACTATTCTGTAATACGTGAAAAGAACATCCAGTTAGGTACCAGCAGTTGGCGTAATGGCTATGTCACTGGACTCCCATGCTATGTCACTGGACTCCCATGTAGTTGACCAGACCCGATAGCTTAAACTCACACCAGGCGTGTGTGCGTGCTCAAGATCACCAGAGGAAAATGGAGGAGAAGGGATTATAGTGTGGCCATCCCCCCTGGGGGGTGATTTCTCACTTTCTGTCTTTCTGGCAAGCGTACACGTCCTATAGCAAATCCCCCCTCCCCCCAAAAAAGAACATCCAATTAAAATAAATACTAAAATTTAAGATTTTAGTAGCTATCTTGCACAATATTGGAATTCAGGCCTTTATGTAAAGGTTTCCTCCTCCATCCCAGCTATAGAAATATAATTTTCTGAGGCATTCCAGAAAGTGCTTTTCTGTTTACTTAGAGGACTTTGTTTAGTCCCATACTGTAAAAGTTAGTTTTTTAGTGTCTAAATTGGGATCATAAGTTGTGTGTTTTCACTAAAACAATTTTAATTCTTTGTCACAATGTTTGCTGTTACTTCTCTTCGTATTTGCTTTTGGAATGATTGAGGGCAAGTAGGTGGTGTGGTAGTTAAGGCACTAGATCACACGTGGTTGACTTTGCAGTTTGAATCCTGGACCTCGAGACTTGAGAATCATGCTAGGAGCATGTGTGTGCATGCCCCCAATCCTGAGAGGAGAGTAGAAGAGTTAGTGGAGTAGCCATCCCAATTCTCACTCTCTCTGTCTCTGTCTGGTGAGCACTTGCACTGCAAAGCTATTTTTAAAAAATAGCTTTATAGATGAAGAATGATTCTCTATATGCTTGGGGCACAGGGTAGAATGGAAAGTTGCTGAGATAAAACTGCCTCAACTCTGCAAAGTTGTATGCAGAGTTAAATTTGGTTGTGTATAAAACACAAGTGAGCAGATGCACCAACACAGCTTTCTATTTTAAACATAACGTTATATTCTGCTGGAGCTTTTATTATTTCACGTTAGTATTAACAAACTGCAGACCTGGCCTGGCGCCAAGGAGAGCTGGATTCCACATGACTGACAGCAATTAGGGTTCCAGCACAGTTCTGTTGAAAAACACACCAGCGGGCCAGCAGGTGGCATGTTGGTTAAAGTGCTGGACTCCCACATAACCAACCACAGTTCAAGTCCTGGACCTGACAGCTTACTTTCTCACTTTTCCTTCTCTCTCTCTCTTTCTCTGTTTTACTCTGGTGAGCATACATGCCCTATAGCAAATAATAATGATAATAATAATTAAATAATTCTTAAAGAGAAGAAAAGACACCAGATAGATTTATGTGCGTCCCCCAAATCCTGATGGGATGGCAAAATGAGGAAGTTTTGTGGTGGGATCGTGCCCCATTGGGAGTGCTTTCTGTCTCTGGCCAACTCACATGCCTTCTGGCCAAAAAAATAAAGTAAAAAATTTAAGTCCTGGACAAGCAGGTGGCATGATGGTTAATTAAGGTGGCTGAATCCCACATGGCTGATTCTGAGGTTCGAGTCCTGAACCCAGTGGCTTGATGATCTTGCCAGGTATGTGTGCGTATGTGCCCAAGGTCCCAAGAGGATAATGGAAGAGAAGGGATTTTAGCATGGCCATATCACCTAAGAGGTCATTTCTCACTTTCTCTTTCCGGCAAGCACATGTGCACTATAGTAAAAACTAAAAGTAAAATAAAATTTAAGTCCTTAGAATTTATATGTGGAAACAAGGGAACAACTAAATGAGAACGAACTTTCCCACATCTCATGTCAGCGGTGTTCTATATGTGTACAGAGGACTGGGATATTCTTAGTACAACTTACCATCTGTGTCAAGTAGTGCCTTTAGAGCCAGTATTTTGTTCAGAAATCTTTCCAAAACCTTTTCTTCCCAGAAAGCAGTGACACCACACGCTAGTACCTCATCCTACTATATTCTACTGCATGCCACAGGCTGTGCGGTCTTGGTCTTTTTTTTTTTTTTTTTGAGAGGTTTTTGCTATAGGGCGCATGAACTCACCAGAGAGACAGAAAGCAAGAAATCACCCTCCAGGGGGGATGGCCACACTGCAATCCCTTCTCCATTCTCCTCTCGGAATCTTGGGCACATACACAAGTACCTGGTGTGAGTTTAAGCCACCAGGTCTGGGACTTGAACCACAGTCTACTACATGGTAGTTCAGCAACATAGCCATTATGCTAACTGCTGGTCCCTGTCTTGGTCTTTCTTGACAGTGAAAACTCTTACTGATCATTCCCAGGAGATTGGTAGTTGCCTGACCTGGTTGCTCTGGGTTTTCAGTATCTAATGAGAGTTCACCCCTTCCACTTCCTGCCTGACCACACAACTAACACCTTTTGTGGATGTGAGGAGATAAGGGTGAGGTGGGGCTAGGTAATGGTGAGCACCATACTTAGATGATTTCCCACCACCCCACACAAAAGAACACATACTCTTTAAAGATAACTTTTTATGGGTAAGAGAGTATTTTGTTGTTATCAATAAATATAAAGTATCTAGAATGTAGATCATGTAGTGATGATTTTGTTATGCAGGGTAGGAAAAGCTTATCTAGGGTAGGAACTTTAACCACTAAGCGTTTTAGGTCATCCAGATAATTTCCCCCAGATTGTTTCAGTCTTAACATAAACAACCGCTGTTAAGACAAAAAAACCTGCTAATCAAATTTTTAATCCCTATTAACCTTGTGACCTTTTACATAAAATTTATGATGGTAAAATTGTTCCCATGTATAATTTGCATTGGAAACTGAGGTCTTTAGATAAATCATGTTTGCATATGGCAGCTAATTGTAGTCTTAAGTGATTAAAGGTGTTGGTAATTATATCTTAAGCTTTGTGGTACGTTAGTCATATTTATGACTGACTCAGTAGCCAAGATCTTGGTCAGAAATGCAACCTCCATTTATGACATGTCTTAGGAAAATGAGTCTCTCAGAGGATGATTTCATTTGACTCTGATGTCAAGAATACTGTGTAATGGGAACCAGCAGTTAGCGTAATGGCTATGTCGCTGGACTCCCACGTAGTCGACC